TTTTTTCTGGTCACGTAAGATTTGTTAAATAAAAGGGAACTCTTTAGCTACAATGTGTCAATGTTATGTTATAAAACAAATGGTAAACACCACAGCGTACACTATTGAGTTATGGATGCACGCGGGAGGTTGCTAAGCACGAAAGAAGCGTAAGAGTCGCTCGAGGCGATAGCCGAGAGCGACTCTAGCTTCTTGAGTGCTTAGCAAACCTCCCAAGTGCATCCATAACTCAATAGTGTACGCTGTGGTGTTTACCATTTGTTTTATAACATAACATTGACACATTGTAGCTAAAGAGTTCCCTTTTATTTAACAAATCTTACATGACCAGAAGAAACAAGCGCGCGTGGAAAAATAGTATTTGCATTTGCTCACGACAGCAGCATACACCCATTGGCGAATGGGGGATGCTAAATTGACCAATCAGAGCGTGTGCTTTGCTTTGGTTATGTTATAAAAGTGATTAAAATGTAACTTCTCCTTATAATATCCCATACATTACCCAATAAACAGGTTATGAGAATACTCAAAAAACTTATCAGGTTGCACGTTATAATTCCTTGGCCACCTACTGTTTTCTTGGATTCATTAATGAAAAAAATCAGCCAGTTAAAAAGTGATATACGATCCTGTCGATGTAAGAATTTCAGTCTCAAAGTTGTAATCGTCAGGTCTGATGGGGAGGGGGTCCGGACTCCCTGGACCCTCCCCCTGGATCTGCCACAGTAAGTGCTTGACTTCTGCCTGCTGTGAGGCAGCTTCCATGACTTTTTCTTTAGCCCCCCCCTTTTTTTTTTGTCTTCATTAACTCTCCTGTTGACTTTTCAAGTCTGAGATGTGTTTGTACTTGTTCCAGTCACCAAACTGGCTTGTCTTTCCCTTTCTAACTTTAGACATGGTTGAATTTGTGCGTGCAGTTCAGGAGTCATCTCGCCCCAGTACTACTGATAGTACCAGTACCTCTGATGCAACTTCACGGACAACTACAGCCAATGATGGTGACCAGGAGGCCGAAGAAAAAGATAAGGACGAGGACGAGGCCATGAGTCTGGACTGAGGTCATTTAGTGACGGATTGTGTTGAGTGTCCCACAAACTTCCATGTGGAATTGTTAGAAATAAACTGTCAACCCTGTAATGAGGTTTTTTTTTTTTCCTTAATATTTTTGGTTGTTTGGTTTAGAAAGGAATGTAAGCGTGATGGTTTTGTTGTCATTAAATTTACTCTACATATGCAAAATTGTTGTCTTTAATTTTTTGTCCCTAGTTCTCAATTTTATAAATCACAAAATATTTAGAAAAGGTTGTCACACCATTTCAAAATAGAACTAAAATTATATTTACCCTTTAAACCCTAATATCAGTATTCATACACTTTTCTATGAATTTCCTTCAAGTGGTGACAATGCGACTTCATTCAATCACAAAAATATTAGAAAAAGTTGGGTTGCACCAGCCTTTTAACTACCACGAGTTACTCGCATTTAATTACTATCTACTTGATGACTTCTCAATCAAACACTATGGTTAAGAAAGTGAAGGAAATAATTGCAAAAAATTCTAAAACAGAAGAAATCCTTTTCATTTTTAATTGCAGACATAATTACAGTGCATGTGTGTTTCTCATGAGTTGATATGACCAAAAAAAAATTCCATATACCACAAAATGTTCAAAAAAGTTATCACATTTCAAAATGTAACAGATATTGATCCCTCACACCCCCAAAACAGTGTCCATATTCTCTAAACAATTTTCTATGCATTTCCTGTTAGTACCTGGCAATGTGACTTCATTTAATTACAAAATAATCAAAAAAAGTTGTCACACCAAGGTTTCACTTCTAGTCTCAGTTACTAGCATCTTGTTACTATCGATGTTAAAATTTCTGAATTGAACATTACAGTTGGGAGAGGGAAGGAAATGCTTGCAAAAAAATTCTAAATCGAGACCCTTTTTATTTTTAACTGCAGACGTAATTGCAATATATGTAAAATCCTATGCACTTGTCATGAGTTTACATGACACAAATATGTTTCACGAATCAAAATATTCAAAAGTTTAAGTGTTACACTATTTCAAAATTCAATTTTAAGTATATTTCCCTTCAAACCCTACAATCAGTGCATATTCTTTATGCACTTACTTTAAGTACTAGCAATGCAATTTCATTTAGTCACAAAATATTCAAAAACGTTGTATCCAACTGACCTTTTTACTTGTAGGAGTTACCAGCTTCTACTAACTATCTACATTCCTTTAAGAACTGACAGTGTGATTTCATTTACTGATCACACCTTAGGTTGGCAATGATTTCCTTTATTCTCATATCTTGACAAATGATTCAGGATGATTACTGTACAGAGAAATTAAATGTTGGTTATTCTTTTGAAATCCTTCTGATCAGATAAGAAACAATGTCAAAATAATTTAAATTCTTTCAAGTAAACTTCTCCAGGCTCTCTCAACTTGCTCTTGAGTATACTCGGGCTCCCACAGCGTGCAAATGGCAACATTTGCCTCTTTTACTCGTTCTTCATTGCTAATCTGGGATTTAATTCTGTTTAAAGCCTGTTCTTTGGAGATGCCATCTCTTGAGAGAATGCGTGACACAGCCTCATTTTCTGGGACAAATGTCACCCATACTTCATTAGTTGCATTGTCCCAGCCAGCCTCCAAGAGAACTGCAGCATCTAAGATGCAAACCTTGAACCCCTCTTCTGCATATCTTGCAATTTCTGCTTGTACTTGCAGCAATATTTCGGGCCAGACAATATGATTAAGCAATGAGAGCTTGGCCTTGTCAGCAAAAACAATGGAGCCCAATGTCCTTCTATTGATAATCTTATCCTCAGTAAGAATTCCATTGCCAAAGTTCTCGATAATTTCTTTGTAAGCCCTCTTCCCTGGTGTGTAGGCCTGATGCCCCAGCTGGTCGCAACTTATGACTGCTGCACCTAGGCTCCTAAGCCTTTGGCAGACTGACGACTTTCCACTGGCAATCCCTCCTGTTAGACCAATGACATAAGGGTGCCCTGGCACTCTCATTTTCCTAACAGGTCGTAAAAGTTTTCCTAATAATTTCTGTCTTTCCATGGTAGAACTCATCTTCTCTTCTCCACTATGAAGTTTTCCATGGCTTGATTCCACATCTTTTTCAATGACAATGTCAATCACATGCACATCTAGAGGGTTCAAACCATTTTTCTCACGCATGTCATTCACCACAAACCCTCCTTTCTCTGTTTCCTTACTAACGATGAGACACTGATATTCTGGGTCAGTTCCCGCTGGACCAACTGGGTCAGTTAATGGTATAATGTTGTGTTCCAGACCTGTGAAGGATACACGTATTTGTAAGTTTTGGAATTACTTGCTCACTTGCTTGAATATGTATACTGATGTTAGGGTTTTAAGGCTGCTCACACAGTGCTTGGAACTACATAACTTTGTGTAAATACATGTAGTTTTGTCCTGAGTAATATTTATATTGCTGATTCAGTGTACCACCATGTTTTTTAATTTTGTATTGTGTTTAGTAAGAAATTAGTCGGCTTTAATCGAGTAATCTAATTCCTAAAGTTTGAAAGGAAAACTTCGTCTTTATATCACAAGTCAATAACTAACAAAGGATAACCATTTCCAGCAAAATGAAAAGCCATTGTAGTGGGCTAGGTACGGGAGAAAAGCTAACAATAACACGTGCAGTTAATTAGAAACAATACCTGGCTTTACATCCTCCAGAAACTCTTTTAAGTTCCTCTTTCTGTCCTGGAAAGGCTCGATAAGTTCTTTTAAGACCTTCTTTTGTAGAAGAGGTCCCTCGCTAAGACCAACGGTGATCCTCTGTTCGCAAAGCAGAGAAGAAACAGCCAGAAGCAACCTGTGTCCAGAATGCATATGATCAAACGTTCCACCGAGAACCACTTGTTTGTAACTCTGTAGACAAGAACCATTCAGATCGCTACTGAGCTCTTTTTCTACACCTCCCTTGCTAATAATCTCATCTTCAAGGTTCAAATACTTCAGCTTTCCGTCGAGATCAGAGAGCTGAAAACGTCTCGCCAGCCATTTCTTGAACTCCAAAAGACCAACTTTCGATTCATTGTTTTCGAACACATCATCAACGAAAGCAACTTCGGGCGATTTGACGAGATTTCTAACTTCTTTAGTGCCACTGCCACTAGGGGCCAAAGTCCGAGGTAGTAAAACACGGACATCTAGTTCCCCGGTTTTGGAAGAGCCGGTTCCATAAACATCAACCAACAGCTCGTACAAACTGCGCACACGATGAACAACAAAATCAGGTTCGTAGATATCTACGTAAAGAACTTCTTTGACTTCTTGAGAAACTTGGCTCAAGAGAGCAGGTAATTTGCTCCTGAGGCACGAAGGCGAAAGAACTAGAAGCCCGTAACGAAACATAGATTCACAATAGATAAGTTAACCTGTTGCTGAGTTCACTCTTCAAGGCTTGTTGACGCAATCGACACTTTCTTCTACGTTGCGAGAGAACTGGATCTAGCTCGGTAACAACGAGCACTTCACGAAGTCTACACGAACATTACCGGAAATCGACTTTTCCGAAAATACAAATCACGTTGAATACATCGTTTCACTCTTGGGGTTATTTTACAGACAGCTCGTTTTCAGCCTTATAAAAAAACTCTTGAGATTTGGCAATGGGACGCAAAGTGACTCTCGCAGCTTGTAGCCTAAATCAGTGGGCCTTAGATTTCGAGGGAAACTTGAAAAGAATTCTTCAGAGTATCAACATTGCGCGTGCACATGGAGCGACCTACAGACTAGGTCCTGAGTTGGAAATCCCCGGCTATGGCTGCAACGATCATTTCCTAGAAAGCGACACCTTACTGCATTCTTTTCAAGTGTTGGCTTTGTTGTTGAAATCGCCTGTAACGAAGGACATTATATGTGACGTCGGAATGCCCGTTATGCACCGGAATGTACGGTATAATTGTAGAATCATCTTCCTCAATGGAAAGATCCTGTTGATCCGACCGAAGATGACTTTGGCTTGTGACGCGAATTACAGAGAAGGAAGATGGTTTACAAGATGGGCGAAGGTAAGACGATTTTTCATGTGTTCCGGGGTCTAGATGTGTGTGTGTGTGTGTGTGTGTGTGTGTGTGTGTGTTTGTTTGTGTGTGTGTGTGTGTGTGTG